AGTGGAAACTACGATTGGAAGAAGCAATGTGCTTTCTTTACTGCAGACTTTGCACCTTTGTGGTACCTAGTGGTGACTTGCAGGAATCCTGATTCCTCGGACATGTCACGCAGCACCTCATGCACATGCGCAAGATCACTAGACCTGCAACGGCCGTACAGAATTAAAAGCAAATGCGAAGCTGCTACGCGGTCTGCGATTGGCCTATCAAGGCCACAGCATACGGGCAATGTGCGTACCTCGCATACTGACACAGGTCTGGCTTGCCTAGTTATGGCTTTGGGTGCGAGTTGCAACTCTGCCATTCCCGTGATCCTTCGGCTCTCTACGCATAAAAGCGCCCCTGCTACTCCCAACATATGGTGGGCGAAGCGCAGTGCTTGAACAAAGGATTGGGCCTTGGTTGCTGCAGACTTGGTTGACATCAAATGCCGAAAGTACGCCCATACCTCAGATTCGTCGAATGGCAGAAAATCACCTGACAGGCTCAAGGAATACCATCGGAAAGAACGACAACATTGCATTCGCACGTTTCACAACGGTGTTTGGTGATTTGGCGCCAATCACTGCTAGTAAAATTTGATCTGTATCCTGAGGATCCGCAATGATCTGGGATCCGACTCTGCTTGCCCTGGGTTTCAAACGAAGTAGGAAATCAAGCTTGCTCAACGCATATTTCATGGTCCTGTCCCTAGACTGTTGAAAGGTTTCGTCTTTCAAGTTCTTAATGCACTTAGCTACAACCCAATGTTCGAACGGAGGCGGCGCAAGCACACTGTCCGTATGGACTTCTTGTTCAACAAGATTGGGGTCTATGCCCCAATCCAAAGGCATGCCTAGACTGACTGGCTTCATCGACTCGGCTCCAAAGATGGGATGGAACAGGTCGTTCTCCCAAGGCATCCTAATTGTCGAGGGCTTCACATCGTGAACGAACGACCATGTCAGGCCGGCAGCATCATCACTCTGAGAGCTAAGGCCACCTACATCAACACGTTGCTGAGAATGTGTCCTGTGAACTGAAGCTGACGAACCTGTTACAGCACCAAACATTTTGTGGCAACGAAGGAAGACAGGTATCAGAACCGACGGGCTGATCATCTGACGCGGAAAGCTCATCAAAGGAAACATGTTTCCTTTTCCGTGCGCTCCACCTTTTCCGAAAGCCCTTCGAAAACTCTCTGCCGTCCTGACCGAGATCAGCGTCATCTTGACCGCTGACATTTTCCATGGCTCATACCCCCCACAAGCTGCAATTTTAGTTACGAAAGCATGAACATTGTTGAGGACATTAACGTCTCTTTGAGAACATGTCATATCTCTATGGTTGGTTTAGCCACAAGTTGCTTATCTTAAAATATTCTCAGAAGCAAGAAGTAAGAGTGCACACACAGCACTCTTGTAGGGAGTGTACTGAGGGAATTTCTGATATATTTAAAACTTTTTGAGAAGTAAGAAGTAAGATTGCACAGAACTCTCCCAAAGAATCTTCTTCTTACTTCTGAGAAACTATCAACAAATTTTAGATTGTTCTGGAATTCTTTAAGTATCTATATATATGTACATATCTTCACTGTTTCTGGGGCAGCCGGAAATTAAGCGAACGCTAGCCGTTCGGTCTTGCTTATCTGGCAAAGGGGTGAGTGAATATTAAAAAGGCCTTGTCCTTCAAAGCTTTTTAGTGAAGGGGCGGGGCAATTACGTTCTATTTTTGTGAATGTCTTTCACGTCACTTGTGATGGCATAGCAGCATGCCCATCTCACATACTGACCACATTTTAGCCTCCTTGGATGTTGTTTTCCATGTCGCTTTGGCTTTATGGTTGGTGTTGCAATAGTTGTTGTGGCAAATTGATCGATGACGGCACTTGCTGTATTCTCAGGGGAGTTTTCTTTTTCCTTCATTACACATGTGTATTTCTAAGTGTTTCTCGCCCTACCTGTTGGCAGATTGATAAAGTCATCCAGTATGTCTTGTGCGCTTCTATCTTTTCAAGTAGTGCCACTTCTATAGTAGTGTATCTTATACTCATATACTTGTTTTACAGAAGCCAACAGGGCTCGTGTAGGCATTGGTTAAATCCCATTTGCCCTCTACTCTCGTTTATTGCTTGTGTCCTTTCTCCTTTATAAAGTGTTGCATTCTGGGTAACATGTCCATTCAGGTTTCTTGCAAAATCATTTGTTGTAGTCCAAACTGTATTCTCGACATCTGCATTATGTTGTTCTTTCTCATTCCTGTTTGTTGCAAGTTCCCTCTGTATCTTCTAGTAGTACCAGCACCTGCTTGAGCAAGTCTTTGATCAATTCGTCTTGTTGACTTTTCGGTGATATATTCTAAAGTGCTTCTCCGTTCTTGATTTATCTTTGTCCGGCTAATTTCTTCCATTCCTTCTCTGCGTGCCTGAGTAGCAACAAAACCTTGCTATATTCCCTCCTATTCCTAGTTGTGCACAAAAAACTAAGGACACATTAGGAGCAATCCACTTGTGTATAAAAGGGTTTTCGCAAATTTACAATTCAGACTGTCCGAATTTCCAACCAAGGTCATTTTCAGACTTCATATAGAGTTGGTTGAACATATAATGAACATACAGAACTACCTGCCAACTCCAAGTGTTGGATCACAGAAATGTCTATCCCCACCACATGTCAAGCAACATAAGTTGTCTTCTTTGAAAAGCGGTATTATATGTTGCCAATAGCAATTTGTTAAGAAATTGCATCATAGATTCATCTAATTAAACAAAATTTGCCGAACTGGAAGCATATGCGCAGATGTATATGTATATACAGAGGCTCATCTAGCCTGAACCGGGTGTCCTCCAAATAGCGAGTGGGTGTCCAAATTTCTACCCGTCCGGTAAACTCCAAAGCACAAGCTGGCAGCTTTTTCCACGGACTCGCAGAATTTGCTGCAATTTGCAAACAATCAGCACTTGCACGCATCACGTGGCATCCCATTCAAAACCATAATGATAGCAAATAGCACCAAGTTCAATTACCAGGCTCCATGCGCACATTGCAACCAAGGTTAGCAGGTCAAAAGGTTGAACGTTCGCTTATGCTATTTTTCACTTTGATCGTCCATGTGACGCGATATTGTCCCCCCGCTACCACATCGCCTCAACAAGCCGGGGCTCTAAGAATCACGAAGCTTCAAGGCAACCTTCAACGGACGCGACCGTTTTACTCGAACAACTCTCACCTCGTCCTAAAGCCCTCCAGAAGCTTAAAGCTTCAAGAAGCACACACCACAAACTCAAACAGGTTGTGGCTGCCAGTAAACGAGCACACCGGCTGCCAGCTAGCTGGCAGTCAAATAGCCTACCAAGGTTAAGCGCACCCAGCTCAAAGCCCCGGCCCTTCTGCTTTGGTCTTTGTTGGAAACTGAGGTGTCCTTACTGAACCAACACAATTTAACAGTAAAATCGTGACAAGTCCTTTATGCCAAACAGGTTTTGCAACACCTCATTACTCCAAGTGCAAAGCGGTTGGACCCTAGGTATACCAAGTGTTCGAGGTTTTCCTGGCCAAAAAGATTTGGCTGGCTATACTTTGACGGGTTTTCCTGGCCAAATGGATTTGGCTAGTCAAATTGTGACGGGTTCTCCCGGCCAAATGGATTTGGCTGGTCAAACTGCGACGGGTTTTTTAAAAAACCCATCACATTTTTGGTGGCCAAATCCATTTGGCTGAGTGGTTTTGCTCAGAAAACCATCACAATCTGGAAGCTCGGCTGGCCCCAGAAAAGCGATGGGTTTTAAAAAACCCATCACAATTCCATGTGTTTTGGAAAACCCCATCACTTTTTGAAGTTGGGGATGAGCTGGAAAGTTTGACGGGTTTTCGTTTTCCGTATTTAATTGCGACGGGTTGTTCAAAAACCCCATCACATTTTGGGGCTGGGGCCCCGGTCTGAAACGCGACGGGTTTTCCCGGCCAAATCAATTTGGCTGGCAAAATTGTGACGGGTTTTCCGTCTCCAACTCATTCATTCCTGCAAGGCCCCATTGATCGAGCTTGGCCGGGCGCAAGGCACTGAAGCTTCGGGCGCACATTGCACCTACAAGCTTCAGGGGGTTGCATCCGACTGCTCCAATTAGAATCTTCCAATCCAAGATCGTTGAGTCTCCGCTCCTGAGCACCAATACAAGGTAAATGTCAAACCGACAAAGTTTCGCGTCCAAGCTGGGCATGTTGAGCAATCAGCATATAAGCGCAGTGGTTGGTGCTTCCAGCTGGCTCAGGCAATCCTCGGGGCCGCACAGACCTACATCAACAAATGACTCCGCAGAGGGTCGAGAAAGATCTGGCAAATAGTGTGAAGTACGAGTTGGACCTATTGAAGTTGCAACGTCCCGGTCAAAGTCAAGCCTTTCTTTTTGCAGCTCCAACAGGTCCACGTTCTCCATGCAAGTGCTTTAAAAATCTTGAAGCGAAAGCTCTATCAAAATGTGGCGCAAAACTTTTGAAATAGTGGTGCTTGGCTGTGGCGCCAGAAGTGGTGGATTATGTTCGTGGTTGTGAGGAAGGAGATGGTCTCTGCAGACTCTTCACACGTAACGTCTCCATCATCATCATATCTCCACGCTGGCAAGGCTGCCCACTGCGAAGAAATCTAAATTCTTGAAGTTCCATGACTGTATATATAGGTCAGTCTTGAGTGTATCAGGCGCATGTGGATGTTGCCTCATTCTTAGAGCTCTTTGCTCCCAAGCAGGACCAAATAAACTACATGGCTGTGTTACATGCTTTTAACGGAGCCAGCAAGAAACTTGACAACAAGGTTCTATTCCAAATCAAACACCCACTTGCTATTTGGAAGACACCCGGTTCAAGCTAGATGAGCCTACAGATATACACATATTTATAGACACATGTGATAAGGGTGGCGCTTAACCTAGGGGGGTAGCATGTATGTATATACATATATATATATATAGAGATACATATCGGCATGCGACATGGTCCAGCTTTCTTTTTTGAAACATCTGCGCCTTAACTTCGCAGAGTAGAGGCAAATGCTCTCCTGATAGGCCTCCAAGATCCCTACGACGCTGGCAGAGTGAAGGATCGCCAGCGATTTCTTCTCGTCGATGTGGTCTGGACGGGCGGCCTCCTCCGTGCAGGTCAGTTGCCAGCCAACCGGGTTGCGCGGATCCACGCAGTGAAACCTCTCGTTGTGATAGCCCTGAGATGGAGGGTCGACCGTGGATCTGAGGGTGGACTGGTCGGGCTCCAGCTTGAACGGCCCATCCCTAGATCTCAGACGTCTTCGAAAACAGCGAAGCTCCAGTGGAGTCGAAAACCAAGGGTCTGCTAAGGTGGGACAACGAAATGATTGAACTCCCCTGGACAACATCTCCACGTTTCAGGACACGAAGCCAAAGATTGAGTCCATGGATGGTTTCGAAAAGAACCCATCTAACCATATGTATATTGTGTATCAAGTGAATCAAGTGTATCATGCGCCTTTCCTTTCTTTCCGCCCCAACCTTCCGTGAGAACTCCGCCAGGCATCCTTCGCGTGGTAGAACTTCGGTGGATGCTGATTCCACGACCGGACCCAGTCTCCGAAGCTCGGCAGGTTGAAACCTTCTTGACCCGGCGCAATGCCACGCCTCTCCAGTGCTTTGATCTCCAGGGGCCCTGGCTGTAGGCATTGATGGTAGATGGACAAGAGGTGGTCTTTCGGACGGCGAAGCATCAGCGCCGTCTTTCCAAACCTACGAGTTGAATGAAGAGCATTATCAACCCTGAAGTCTTCCCGGAATAGCAGCTCTAGCAGAGGCCAAGAGTGGATATGTCATATATGTCAGAGAAAAGAACAAGTAAGAGCATGTAAGACTGAGTAAGACCTATGCCTATATCAAACAAAACCTGACGCAAAAAAGACATGTCTCGACGCAAAAAAAAACCAAGAAACCTGGCTTTGGTAGATTTCTCCCAGCAGACCTGTGCCGTCCAGATGTTGTCTCGGCCCACTAGCATGGAGAGGTCTCCTACTAAGGAGCAGCCTGCGATCTTTCCGATGTGGAGGAGGAAGATCTCACGATCAACGACGTTATTGGTTCCATTCCAACACCAGCCAGCCTTGGAAAGGAGGATGAACGAAAGGAGAACGAAAGGAGACAAGTTAGGTTGATGACCTTCAAGCGTTCCTTGAGGTCCACCCTTGCTAGTGCTCCGTTGAGATTGAACCCACAAAAGCAGAGTGTATGGTCATCCGGTCATGGTTCCTTCCTGTTAACATGGTGGCTTTTGTCACTTGGCCCGATTTCAGGACCTGACCCAGAACCAGGTGGATTCAGTGGATTCTCAGGGTCCGAAAGCGGCTCCGACTTCGGGCTTGGCCCAAAACCTCTTTCCTCGACAAGCGAAACCTAAGACCTCCAAGACCGACCCACCCCACGGACCGCGGGGGCGACCGGCAACGCCACTCTCGGGGCGACCGGCAACCAACGCCACTCGCTGCGGAGATGAGTCGCCCACTTCGATGCATTGAGCTGCTGAACCACCTCTGACGGAGCCTGGCGAAACTGGGTCTCGTGCTGCTGGAGCAAGGAGCAGTCGGCAGTGTCCGCACTCGCACTGGCCAGACTGACGACCAGAGGTAGATGTAGAAAGCCAACTGT